GGGGACAGCCGGACAGCGGGGGGACAGCGGGGACAGCGGGGTGACAGCGGGGACAGCCGGACAACAGGGTGACAGTGGGGACAGCCGGACAACAGGGTGACAGCGGGGACACCCGGGTGACAGCAGGGACAGCCGGACAACGGGGAATCAGGGACACCCGGGTGACATTGGGGACACCTGGACAGTGGGGTGACATCAGGGACAGCCAGACAGCGGGGTGACAGCGGGGACAGCCGGACAGCGGGGACAGCGGGGTGACATCGGGGACAGCCGGACAGCGGGGGGACAGCGGGGTGACATTAGGGACAGTGGGGTCACAGCAGGGACAGTGGGGTCACAGCAGGGACAGTGGGATGACATCGGGGACACCCGGGTGACAGCGGGGACACCCAGACAGCGGGGTGACATCAGGGACAGCGGGGTGACAGGGTGACAGCGGGGACAGCCGGACAGTGGGGTGACATCGGGGACAGCCGGACAGTGGGGTGACAGCGGGGACAGCCGGACAACGGGGTGACAGCGGGGACAGCCGGGTGACAGCAGGGACAGCCGGACAACGGGGACACCCGGACAGCAGGGTGACATCGGGGACAGCCAGACAGCGGGGTGACAGTGGGGACAGCGGGGTGACATTAGGGACAGTGGGGTCACAGCAGGGACAGTGGGATGACATCGGGGACACCCGGGTGACAGCAGGGACACCCAGGCAGTGGGGTGACATCAGGGACAGCCAGACAGCGGGGTGACAGCGGGGACAGCCAGACAGCGGGGTGACATTGGGGACACCCGGGTGACAGCAGGGACAGCCGGACAGATGGGTGACAGCAGGGACAGAAGGATGACATCAGGGACAGCCAGACAGCGGGAACACCCAGACAGCAGGGTGACAGCAGGGTGACATCGGGGACACCTGGACAGACAGGTGACATCGGGGACACCCAGGTGACAGCAGGGACACCTGGACAGCGGGGTGACATTGGGGACAGCCAGGTGACATTGGGGACACCCAGACAGACAGGTGACAGCGGGGACAGCCGGGTGACATTGGGGACACCCGGCTGACAGCAGGGACACCCAGACAGCCGGGTGACAGCGGGGACACCTGGGTGACATTGGGGTGACATCACGGACAGCCGGGTGACACTGAGGACACCCAGACAGCGGGGTGACAGCGGGGACACCTGGACAGCCAGGTGACATTGGGGACACCCGGACAACAGGGTGACATCGGGGACAGCCGGACGACAGTGGGGACACTCAGACAGACGGGTGACGTCAGGGACAGCCGGACAGTGGGGTCACAACGGGGTCACAGCGGGGACAGACGGACAGCAGGGTGACACTGGGGACACCCGGGTGACACTGGGGACAGCCAGACAGCAGGGTGACATCAGGGACACCCGGACAGCTGGGTGACATTGGGGAGAACCCAACAGCCAAGTGACAGCGGGGACACCGGGTGACATCGGGGACACCCAGCAGCGGAGTGACAGCGGGGACACCTGGACAGTGGGGTGACAGCGGGGACAGCCAGGTGACATTGGGGACAGCTGGACAGCCGGGTCACAGTGGGGACACCTGGGTGACATCAGGGACAGCCGGACAGTGGGGTGACATTGGGGACAGCCGGACAGTGGGGTGACAGCGGGGACACCCGGGTGACATTGGGGACAGCCGGACAGTGGGGTGACAGCGGGGACACCCGGGTGACATTGGGGACAGCCGGACAGTGGGGTGACAGCGGGGTAACAGGGAGGACGGGAGGGGACATGGGGACGGGGGCACCCAGGGAGGTGGCCGGGCCGGGATTGTCACCGGTGGGGATTGGGGGGGGTGACACTGGGGGAGGGGGTGACACTGGGGGAGGGGGTGACGTCACCCATGACGTCACCATGACGTCACCCACATCTTGTCCTCGATGCAGTACACGGCCGAGGGCAGGGACTTGTTGGGGGCCTTCACCCGCGGCACCTTCTGCACCGTCGTCTCCAGGAGCCCTGGGGGGGACACGCGACCCACAGTGACCCACGGCGACCCACGGCGACCCCCACGGGACCCATAGCGACCCCACGGTGCCCCATAGACCCCACAGCGCCCCATAGAGACCCACAGCAAACCCATAGCGACCCCACGGTGCCCCATAGAGACCCCACGGTGCCCCATAGAGACCCACAGCAAACCCATAGCAACCCCACGGTGCCCCATAGACCCCACAGTGCCCCATAGAGACCCAGAGCGCCCTATAGTGACCCCACGGTGCCCCATAGCGACCCCACGGTGCCCCATAGCGACCCAGAGCGCCCTATAGTGACCCCACGGTGCCCCACAGCACCCAGGGCACCTTCTGCACCGTTGTCTCCAGGAGCCCTGGGGGGGACACGCGACCCACGGCGACCCACGGCGACCCACAGCGCCCCATAGAGACCCCACAGTGCCCCATAGACCCCACAGTGCCCCATAGAGACCCACAGCAAACCCATAGCGACCCCACGGTGCCCCACAGCACCCAGGGCACCTTCTGCACCATTGTCTCCAGGAGCCCTGGGGGGCACACGTGACCCACGGCGACCCATAGCGACCCCACAGTGCCCCATAGAGACCCCACAGCGCCCCATAGAGACCCCACAGCGCCCCATAGAGACCCATGGCACCCTACAGTGACCCATAGAGACCCACAGTACCCTATAACAATGCCACAGTGACCCAGAGACCCCACAGCGACCCATAGGGACCCACAGCACCCCAGAGAGACCCCACAGCGACCCATGGCGACCCATAGCAATCCCCACGGGACCCATAGCGACCCCACAGTGCCCTATAACAACGCCGCAGTGACCCACAAAGACCCCACAGCGACCCATAGGGACCTACGGCACCCCACAGAGACCCCACAGCAACCCACGGCACCCCACGGTGACCCCACGGTGACCCTCAGCGACCCATGGCACCCCACAGAGACCCCACAGCGACCCATGGCACCCCACAGC